TATGAAACATGGTTTTCAAAAAACTTCAGTGAAAATACTCCAAACAGCCCAAAACTTCACAGGTTTGGTAACGATGCAGCCATCAACGCATCTAAGCGTATTATGGGGTGTCGTCAAATGCCGTTGCCATGGCGACAGATCATTCGCCATCAAGTTAGTTCAAAAGTTTGCAGCTCAAATATTCTGCTGCTTTTCCAAGCCTTTTTACTTTCTTTTCTTCTCTCATCACACATTCAAGCCCCCTGTGTTCATGTATAATTTCAATCTAAATTCTTCACTTTCTTCTTACGCATTACATTTCGGCATAGCAGTTCAGCGTCAGCTTTTCAGCATAAAGCATTCCCACTAGCAATTTCTTCAGGAATTGCATTCTCTAGTTAATATTACAGTTGTATTTTGCACCTCGGGGTAACTGATGCTTTGGGATTGTTTTTACTCCGGTAGTAAAACAAATCAACAGAATTCCCCAGTTTCCCTTCAAGAGTTCTAATAATGAACTTTACTTTCTGGAGTGTGTCTCCCCACCTCTGTGTAGACTATGGCAGTCATCCAGAACCTCTTGGTGGGTCTGGGCACAGAGAGCATGGCCCACAGGAACACCATGATGGGGAGGACCAGGGAGATGACCGAGGCGCTGACCCCGTTGTTCATCACGATGATGAGGTAGCAGACCAGCTCAGAGTTGGCAGCCAGCAGGTGGTAGAGGGTGAAGAGCAGCCGCAGTGGGCGGCTCTGAGTGTGGTAAAAGTCCCTGCTCTGCTCCAGCTCCTCGATGAAGAACTGCCTGCACACAGAGGAGGGAACCAGGAGTAGGTATTCATTCATGATTGTACTCATCACCAGTCTTACAGAATCAGAAGCAGGTTTATTCTTATTAAACAACAACTTACTATTTTAAGACAACTATTATACTATTAAAATATAGCAATATTTACATGAAATATAGATGAAATATATATATACCTGTAAACATGTAATCGAATAAAATAAGTGCAGTAAGTGGAAAGCTGTGCAGATATAAGAGTTAGCTTTGTGTACAATGTGCAAAATTCCAATATCTAATCAAATCAAAATCCAGAGTTATCAAGTAAAACAAAAGTTCAAAAATAACATAATTTTCTATTAACACATTTACTACGCAAATATTGTGGTATTACTGCTGCGATCGACGCATAAGAAACCTCTGAAACCACAGTTCGTCTTCTTTAGTGATGAGGGGTAATTACTTTTTTAGTGATTTCTATCGTTTAGTATACATATATATTAACATATTCAACCATTAGACCTTATACATATTTTTATTAGGGCTGTTATTGTTAATGCATAAACGCTTGTGGTTAATCTGGAAACCTTAAGGCGTAAAAAAAACTGCAGCGTGGATGTTTTCCATTATTTGCATGGCAGTGAAAAGAGAAAGAAATGTGAGAAAACTCACATGTATTATCCCTCACAATATACAAGTAAATACTAGTCTTTTAAACTATTACTTTGATAACACAAAAACATTTTTTAATCGATTGACACCACTCATTTTTATTTTAGATTGCCCTTTTTCCTGTTATGAATCATTTGAGTAGGCCTTAAGTCAAACTAGGAAGATAGGAACAGCTGGGATGTTTATCTTAAGGTGGCACCTTTGTTTTTGGATCAGAAGATGTTTTGACTAGAGTCAGATATGTTTATGATCAGTCTAAGAATCAGTTACATTTGCAGTCCAACAAGAATTTGGCAGAATAGATTGTGGAACACAAAGTGACTGCAGACTTTTATTCACTTGTATCGTTCATCTGCCGTTTCCCTTGGCCAAGCTTTGATTAAATCTTCAGTATTATTAGATATCAGTCCCATCTTCCAGAAGCCTCTTTGTTTTCCAGTCATATTGCTCAAAACTGAATTTCCATCCCTGAGCTCCTACCTGTCTCCCAGCAGCTCACTGGCTGTTCTCGAGTGTCTGTTCTGTTGTTTGCTCTCCACTGGCATCAGCTCCGTGCTGCTGGAGGGGGGGTCTGGAGTCAACAGGTCCCCAGAGCTGTTGAGTCCGGGCGTGGGGGTGGAGCGGCCCGTCACCCCCCTGCTGTCCACCTCCAGGCAGCTGATTCAACACACACACGTACACGCACACAGATTATGGATACAGAAAACATGTGGGAATCCAACTGTCTAGAGGGTTGGAATTCAGATACTTGAGTAAATGAACCAATACATCAATGTGATAATACTCCATTATAAGGGAAAATCTCACAATTTAAAATCTCACTTAGTAAAACTGGAAAAAAATTATCAGAAACCTACATAAAGTATCAAAAGTGAATGTATTTATTCTGCAGAAAATTCCTCTGTATGTAATATATGATTATATATGTGTAATTATTAAAAGTGTTAATATTTTGTCTCAATCAACACTTTACTGATGTAGACAAACAAAGCTCTGATACACAAACGATGCAAGTTTACCACTTTCTTCCTTAACTTAATTTTGGATAATTGCATCTTTTGTATCTTAAACAGTTATTGCACTGGTTTATGTCAAAATAAATATATTGTAAATATATATATATATATTTTAAATGTAGCGGCAGAAAGGTATAAAGTAGCGTTAAATGGAAATACTCAAGTTACTTTAAAAGTGTACTTAGCTACAGTACTTGGTGCTTTAGTTACTTTCCACCACTAAGTGTCACTAACATGTTATAAAGAGCCTCACCAGTAGTGACACTAAACATGTTAATAGAATAAAGACAGGCTCTCATTACATCACCTGAAGCTGTGTACTCCTGCCAGGGTGTGGATCATATTTACATGATGTGCTCTGTTGAGCCCCAAGCCTGTTTTTCAGGTCTCCGGCTCGAAAATGACACTTCCAGAACAAATGACCATAACTACACTTCTAAAAAGTGGAAAATTAATAATCTTTTTTCTCAAAGTAATGATAAACCTGTGATTTTGCTGTAGAAAAGACAGAATCAGTATAGATGTATTATATTTTAAAGAAACTTCAGATTGAACATAGTAAAACAAATGTAAATTATTGTGTCCGTCCAAAAAAACAACATTACTTATAGTGAAAACTACCCTTGGATGATGGGCTAGTAGACTAAAAGCTTTAGTAATCCAAAGTACAACATATAATAAGTACCCTGTATTAAGATTGATGCAAAACAAGTGACATTTGACCTTTTTAGAGAGGTTTAGCAAAAACTCTACCTCTGGGGTCATTTGGGCTGATCTGGGCGTATTTACCGTTTCTCTGGAACCCATTGGTCGGTTTTGATGATTGACATCTCTTTTTAACCATTAGAGCCAATAGAATCAAAGGGGAATTTCCACATACACACACGTTACCATTGAGGAATGAGAGCTATGCGCACGCAGTTTGCCCAAAGCGAAACCTATCTTACGCTCTGAAATCTGAAAACTAGGTTTATTGCTTATGGATTATCAGTAATCATTTCAAAGTGACACAGATACATTGGATTAACCTATGGATTAACCTTCAGCAGCGTTTTTATCGTTTTAATGCCATTGAAGACCACTTTTGATCAGAATAACAGCTAAGGTAAGAAATGTGCCGTGTTTGCTACCCAATGCCACGTGTTGTGATGTCTGTTTATGTTTCTCATGTCACGAGTTTTGATCATGGAGTGATGATACTGATACCTATTGAATCTGTGTAATCTCACGATGCTAATCGGTGGGTTGGATGTGCATTTACGATAAGTAATAAGGGTTTTATACCGTGAGTTCTGTGCTAATGGCGTTAGCATTTCTTTGCTCAGGGCTAATTCAGAGGCTCAGCGTTAGTCTTGTGGTTTTTTTTGCCAGACATTGTTCATATCATCAGTTAGCTGAGTCTCTTCCCGTTACATGGATATGAAACATTCATAGTTTATTAAATCTTAAGAAGCCCTCAGACACTGTTGCTTGCAGATGTTATGGTTTCGGCCCCTTCGGCGGGTCCGTGGGGCTCAACAGGTTAAGTCGTGGTGTCTCACCCATTTGTGGATTGTGAATAAAAGACACTGACACTCTTCTTCCACACTCACCTGTATCTGGGGAGGTCTGGATCGCTCTCATCCAGGCAGGTCTCCAGAGTGGGACTCTCACTGTCCTGAGAGAGCTGCTCCTCTGTGGAGTCTGCTGTGGCATTATGCTTTGGAGGGGGACACACCTGAGTCAGAGTGTGTGCGCTGAATGTGTAACTCTAAATGTATGTAATTGGCTGTTGTGTGTACCTGCTGTATCTTGTGTATGATGAAGTAGCGCTCGTTGCACAGGACAGTGGATGTCTCTCTGTACTGTTTGGTCAGCAGGTTCAGCCACTGAGTCAGCCCATCCACCATGGCCAGAACGATGGCCAATAGGAAGCGCAGGATGTCCAGGATCCTCTGAACCATCTCCCTGTGACCTGTAGCGCCCAGACAGAGACAGAGACGAGCTGTGATTGACTGTGGATTAAACTTCTGAGAAACCTCATTTTTTGTGTAGGTTTATTTCCATATATTGAATAGATATAGCGGATACAGCAAGTTATTTTTTAAATTAACTGTATGTAGGGAAAATATATGCAGAGCAGTCCAAATATCATCACATTTCTACTAGTTCTGTCTTGTTTTATAATGTATAATGAACCTGCTCCTGTTATCATTTTGAATTTTGAACACTAGAACCAGTGTAGTAGAAAAGCCCTTTTCTTGTTTTCTGTGGAGCCCTGATCCTCCCGTTCTTCAGATGATGCGAGCTCAGGTCTGAAGCTTTTGTTCTTTGTTGGTAAGTGGAGTTTAGCCTGTTTAGCCCTGAGCCTGTTTTTCAGGTCTCAGGCTCGAAAATGACATTCCCAGAACAAATGACCATATCTTCCCTTCTAAAAGGGTTAAATTAATCTTTTCCCCCAAAGTAATGATAAACCTGTGAGTTAGATGTAGAAGAGTCAAAACAATATAGATGTTTTTTATTTTAAAGAAAATTCAGATTGAACATAGTAAAAAACTGTAAATTATAGTGTCCGTCCAAAAATTGCTTTAGTGAAAATTACCCTTGGATGATGGTAAGGTAGACTAAAAGCTTTAGGAATCCAAAGTAAAACATATAATAAGTACCCTGTATCAAGATTGATGCAAAACAAGTGACATTTTTACCTTTTTAGAGAGGTTTAGCAAAAAAAACTCCACCTCTGAGGTGATTTGGGTGGAAATGGGGGTTTTACCGTTTCTCTGGAACCCATTGGTCGATTTTGGTGATTGACATCTCTTTCTGACCGTTAGAGCCAATAGAATCGAAGGGGAACCTCCCCACTCACACACATGGTAAAACAAAAAGGTGGGGGCTTCACGCACACAGTTTTGCATGAGAGTGAAGCTGTCTCTAGCTCTGACATCTGGAAACCGAAAAGCAGGTTTATTGCTCATGGATTATCAGAAATCATTTCAAAGGGAGACAGACACATTGGATTAATTTCAGCAGCGTTTTTATCGTTTTAACACTAGAACCGCCAATCGGGTCAATTTGACCCAGAGCTGTTTTTTATTGTATGTAACTTTTTTTCAATAAAATATTAAAGTCTCCCAGTCCGTGACTTTTCCTGAAAGTGTGTTATGTAGCACCCTATGTTGTTAAAAATTGTCAATATGAAGTCAGATTGCCATTTATACCTATTTTCGCCCAGCGGGTCATATTGACCCCACCCCTTTTCGCGCTATTGAATTTTGCGTGTAAACAACATGACGTGTTGCTATAGCAACGCCTTTTG